CCGCCTGCCCACCGTGCTCCTTAAACTGCGCATGGCACAGCACCTCCAGGCCGCCGTGGCCTTCCTGGAGCAGGGCCACGTGCGCATGGGCCCCGACGTGGTCACCGACCCCGCCTTCCTTGTCACACGCAGCATGGAGGACTTCGTCACCTGGGTTGACTCGTCCAAGATCAAACGACACGTCCTGGAGTACAATGAGGAGCGCGATGACTTCGATCTGGAAGCCTAGCTGTCTTTCCTCCCCACCCTGTCACCAGTGCTGCATTTTATAGATGGGGAAGCTGAGACCGGATGCTGGAGATTCTGTGAATGCGCTTTCCCAAGAATGTGTCAACCAATCGTCGTTCCTTAAGAACTTGGCTCCTTAGCTGCTGGCCATGCTTACAACCAAAGGGTACACCCCTGTTTTCTGAAAATTTTCTTAGCCCTTGGACTATTGATAAATGGCTGCCTTGAAACAGTGGGAAGCGGTTTTGTGCTGCGCTAGGAATTGTTAGATTCTTGTACTTTTAATATTGTAGTGTGAAAGCAAGAACTTTGCGCCCACCCCCGCTTTCCCCTTATTATCTCATAGCAGGACAGTTAATTTAACTCGAATTCTTGCTCCTGGTGATTAACTTGTGTACGACCATGGAGAATTTGGTTTTAAGTTTTCATAAAATGGGGTGAGAGTTTAGTGTTTAAAGGAATGCTTTTTTAATGCCAATAAATAATTCAACTGCTTTGTAAGTGCAAAATTTTGCCTGTCTGGTTTTCTCACAGAGTCATATCTGTAGTTCTTCTTTGCTCAAGAACCCAGAGAAAAGGAGCAGGGTCAAGGATCAGTAGCTGCCTGTCTGAGTCCTGCAACAGGGAGGACATGTGAAGCAGGGTTTTGTACAGGGCTGGGCAAATTTGTGAGTTTACCAAACCCTTCCTGGGAAGGAGTGTTTAAGCAGAGCTCTCCCCCCCCAGGACTTCCTGTTGATATTCCAGCCCTAGGAAACACCATATTAGAGGGCTGAAGTGTTTGCCTAAGGAAATTATCACCCTGTAGCTTGACCATTTAGCACAGTGGTTCTCAACCTTCCTAATGCCGCGACCCTTTAATACAGTTCCTCATGTTGTGGTGACCCCCAACCATAAAATTATTTTCGTTGCTACTTCATAACTGTAATTTTGCTACTGTTATGAATCGTAATGTAAATATCTGGTATGCAGGATGTATTTTCATTGTTACAAATTGAACATAATTAAAGCATAGTGATTAATCACAAAAACAATATGTAATTATATATGTTTTCCGATGGTCTTAGGCGACCCCTGTGAAAGGGTCGTCGCGACCCACAGGTTGAGAACTGCTGATCTAGCAGTTAGAAGTGGCCCAGGAGGTTCCTAAAACTTAGATGTTCTTAGGAGTGGGAGAGAGTTGGAAATTAGAGAAGGGAGACACCTGGTTTTACAAGGAGAATAATAGAATGCCAGGACCAGTGTGATGACTTTTACGTATGTCTCCTCCATTTCCCCAGGTGTGAGGCAGCACGTGTTGAAGATACAATGAAGGGAACGAGGCACTGGGGATGGCAATAGCAAATGCTTTACTACATGCCAGGCATGGTTTTAAGCACATTACATATCTTAACCATTTAACCCAATACTCCTATGAAGCAGGGAATCCAATTACTATATTCTCTACTTTTCAAGTGAAGTAACCAAGGGAGAGATGGGTCAAATAAGATGCCCTATATATATACATATTTATTTACTAAAAATTGAAATAGTACATCAAAAAATTTGTTACAATTCAAATTTTTGAAAATCAGAGAATCTAGTTAATGCATCCTGCACTAATCATGCTCTAGCCAAACCACCCAATGTTTTCTTTTCTACATTCCTTCCACACAAGTTTGAATTTTCAGCCCAGCAGAGAAACAGCAGCACTAGGCAATGTTGTATGAATGTTTGAGCAAGGAGCAGGCATTGAGCTACCAAGGCTTGGCTAACACTCCTTGATGCCCTGTCTGTGCTAAGCTGCCATTTGCTCTTCCCAACAACCCCTAAGGTAGGTGGTGCTATCCATACCTTTTCAGTTTGGGAGACAGAATTGGGACTAGAACTTATCCAAGGCTGGCATTCAAGTCACATTCATTCATGTGACAACAAGGGCCATGTTCTTTTCAGTTCTATCCCTTTAGAAATGGAATGAGAGAAAATATTACTACTCCTCAATTCTAATGGCTAGGCACAATCTCATCTCATTTAAGGGGTGTTCTCAGGGCTCACAGGCTTAGGGATCTCATGAAAGGAGAGTTTGGTGGCTCTAGAAGGCAGGACCCACGGCCCTGGGCAGGTAGCTCAATTGGTTAGAGCAGTGGTCGGTAAACTGTGGCTCGCGAGGCACATGCGGCTCTTTGGCCCCTTGAGTGTGGCTCTTCCACAAAATACCGACTTCTGCGCATGGGCCACGAAGTTTCAATCGCACTGTATGTGCGCGC